GGTCTATTAAACAATGTACCAAAAACGGTTGCAACGCTGCCACAACCCGTTCAAAGTTATAGTATTTAAGATATCGATCCCGACGAGAAGGTGTTTTCGCCGAGGAAAAATATAAATTGGTTCTTAGGTGTGTGCGTGACAAAGTAAGATTGGATGAGTGCGAATGTGCATTGTGAAGAGATTGACGAGAGTGAAATGAAAATGGTGGTGAATGAGGCTGCAAAAGTAGAGTGAAGTGAGATGGATTGTGAAAAAAGAATAAGTAGAGAAGGAAAAAAAAATAAAATCAAGAAACAAATAAAAATCAAGAAATGAAGAACAAAATCTAAAAAAAAGAAAATACAAGAAATTAAAATGCCGTTTGGATTCAATTATATGATAGAAGATATATCTAAAATTGAACCAACTTCTTAGAAAATGTGATTCCTAGAGGGTTCTAGGCCTAAAGCGCCCGAGATTGCAAACAAAATAAACATAAACAAAAAGAAAAACACAACCGCAAGAGGGCAGGGGGCCGGGGCGGGGGGGGGGGGGGTGGCTGAGGGGGGGGGGGGAGGGCTGGGGCGGGGTGCGGTTCTAGCCTCAAGGTGAATAGTGTAAGAATTAAAATCTAACTACAAAATAACATTATAAAATCTAAACTACAAAATAAATTGCCAAAATAGAAGAAAATAAATCTACTCTATAAGCATGAAATAAATCTAAGGCAAGAGGGTTCTAGCCTCTTGGCTATTTAAAAAGAAAAATAAAATCTAATTACAAGCATGAAAATAAATCTAACTAATAAGCAATAAAAGGGAAATAAAAGAGAAAAAGGAAAGAAATGCAAACCTCTAAATAATTCTTCATCTCCATCTTCATCATCCAACAAAGAAGAGAAAAATTTAAAGTGGTAAAAAAATTATTATTATTAATTGTAACAAAAGTTACAATTTTGGAAGACCTTCTCAATTAAGAGTAGCCCTCCTCTCCAAAAGGAGTTACAAAAATTTTCACACCTCTAACCCCTCACTCTCTACCCCTATTTATAGTAATCTTCAATAAATATGAGCCATTAGATTTGTCTTGAGCTCCAAGCAACAATCTCCACATTTGAATTTGCTTTTTGTTCTTCTCTAGCCCAAACATAAGAGGCCCATATGATTTTCAAAATTAAATGAAAATTTGGTCCAATGGAGATCTGCAGCAAAGAAACAAGTCCGGCCCTTTATTTGATTTTCAAAAATTAATTCTGCAAAAGTCCGGTCCTCATTTACAAGTCCGGCCCTATTGGCTTCATTTGATCTTCCAAAATTAAAAGCCAATTCAGCAGTCCAAAGTCATCAATCAAGTCCGGTCTCCTATGCATTTGTTTGAGAAAAAATGAAGTCTGGTCTCCTATGCTTTTGTTTGAGAAAAAATGAAGTCCGGTCCATATGATTCTGCTGCAGCAATGCTTGTCCGGCCTATGGAAATCTTCATTTGATTTTTAGCAAGTCCTTGCCCCATCCAACTCTGAAGCACAGTCCGATCATTCAAAAGAAAATCAAAATGCAATTTCATAGTCCATTTGATTTTCAGCCCATTCACTTCATTTGATTTTCAATTGATTTTTGGCCCATTCAAACTCTGCAGCACAACTCCGGTTTCCATTTGATTTTGAAAAATCAAATGCCAACTTGCCAAGTCCGCAGCACTCACATTCCCATTTCATTTGATTTTCAAGATTAACTCTTTGCATCCAAGTCCGGTTCATTCTAATTATTTGCATCCAAGTCCGGTCCTTGGTGTAATTTTTCTTAATGGGCTTTGGGCCTTCTAAAATTCAAATATTCACTTGTGAAACAATAAAAGGAGGAGCTGCCATGGACATTTGGGACATTTAGGCTTTTGGGCTTTTAAATTCAAATTTCCAATTGGCTTCATTTCTTCATTTAATCTACGGGTTTTTGTTGAGAGATGGGAGTTTGAGATTTATTCTTTATTAACCTGCAATTAAAGATAAAAACAATTATTAGTAGTATATTTATTCATATAAAATAGATAATGAGGGTATAAATTTGTAATAAAAAGTGATTATCACCTAGCCTTCGACTTCGACCCCCGCCATTTGCAGTCGCCGCCTACCCCTAGCCATCCGACCTCGTCGCGCCGCCGACACCATCGACCCCCACCGAACCCCCATCATCAGGTGTGTTTTTCTTTTTAGTTTTGCTGTTAATTTTTGAGAGAGATATTCATCAAATTTTGTTAGAATTGGGTGAATAATGTCCTTGGTTGCTAAATGCCGCCGTGAGAAAATCATCAAATGGGCAATTTGTAATATGTAGATATTGCGGACTTCATACATGTTGCAACCTGTCGGTGGATGTCGATGATTATTCTGCATCTTCTTCTTATATATGTAAGCTAATTATGCCTGAAGTTAGAGCTGAACTTGATTTGAATGCAGGCCAGATATTTCAGAGGGTATATGACATGCGGGGGATTAAGATATCTAAATATAAGGCATATGATGCAAGGCGGAAAGCGTTGTCTAAAATTTTTGGAGATTGGGAAAAATCATATGAATTACTTCCACAGTATCTTGAAGCTATCAAACGAAATAATCCGGGTACTAAATACGAAATATTTTCCGAAGAGATTGCACCGGGTATGGAGAGGTTCACTCGCGTGTTTTGGGCATTTGGTCCTGCTATTAAGGGCTTCGCTTTTTGTCGTCCGCTATTGAACATTGATGGTACACATTTATATGGAAAGTACAAAGGCGTGCTTCTTGTAGCTACCAGTGTAGATGCAAATGGCGGGTTATTTCCTCTAGCATTTGCAGTCGTGGAGGTGGAGGATACGTCTAGTTGGAAGTGGTTTTTTGAACTTATATACAAGTGGATTCCAAGTGTCCGTGCGCCAAGAATAATTACCTTTATTTCGGATAGGATGAAAGGAATTATAAGGGCGTTACATGAGGGTTTTAGTGCACCACATCACCATCGATATTGTTTAAGGCATATAAAAGATAATTTCAATAAAAAACACGGTGAGATTAATTTGCAAAATCTTTTGTGGCAAGCCGGGTGTGCAACCGACACATTAGTGGTGAGATTAATTTGCAAAATCTTTTGTGGCAAGCCGGGTGTGCAACCGACACATTAGTGTATGACCATTACAGGGAGAAAATCAAGTCTTTGTCATTAGATGCACATAATTGGATTGAAAATAACTTGAAGCCCCAATTCGAGCATCAGTGAGCATTATGTAAGGATGAGGGTGTGCGGTTTTGCATGATGACGACTAATTGCTCCGAGAGCTTTAACGACGTTCTTAAAGGAGCACGTGCTATGCCAATACAATCTTTGGTTGTGAGAACATTCTATAGACTAAACGCATACTTCAACAAAAGGCGTGGTGATGGCATAGACTGGACAACACGTTACACACCAAAAAATGAGTCCATTTTGCATAGAAGAATTGAGGCAGCAAGATCATGTCAAATTACTGTATTCAACGACAACGAATGGCAGGTACAAGATTGTGACGGTATCTACACCGTTAAACTATTTGATGTTGATTGCACTTGCACATGTAACATACCACAACTCCAAAAAATACCCTGTGCACATGTGCTTGCGGCTTCTTCTAATCAGCCGGGAGGTGCTAGAATTCCCAGAAATCAGTATTGCTCGTCTTGGTATTCAACAACTCACTATCAAAAGACATATAGTGGGAGTTTTCATCCACCTGATGATAGTCGGTGTTGGCCTGAATATAATGGACCACGTATAATTCCACCTCAGTACCGGAGACAAGCAGGTCGACCACGATCTGTGCGAATTAGGGGAACCATGGATCAAGGGCGAGAAGGAGTGGTCAAGCATAAAAAATATAGTCTTTGCAAACAACCGGGACATACTCGACCTCGTTGTCCATCTAGACACAATAGATAGCAACTAATTGGTAATTTATATCATTTTTTTATTTTTATATACTTTAATAAAGAAACTGAATTACTATATGATTGATTATTGACATGTGTATAATTGTATGTGCAGGTTTGTACACCATGGATCCTGGGCCGGTTAGTGATGAGGTCTTATATGACCAGGCTCAGCATCGTTCACATATTATATCCTGTACAGAGGTAATTCAGTTACTTTATAATTGCAATATTTGCATTTACATAATATTGCATTCTTATACTATCATTTGCTGTACAGAGAGGAGGGAGTATCGTTATGGTTGATCATAGCCTCAGCCATAGCCGTTGGCGGTTAGAGGATGAGCATATCATATCAGCTGTGGGACGGGTCGGCTTCTTGACTTGTTCAAAGCTTCGTTGGATAAAGCTCGATTGGCCCCTACTAACCGCGTTGATGGATAGATGGAGACCTGAGACCAATACTTTCCACTTCCAGATGGGCGAGGCTACCATTAATCTACAAGATGTAGCCGTGATACTTGGTCTCCGTATAGATGGTCCGTGCATTACCGGCACTGATAGTGATGTATGGCCTCAAAGATGTGAGGAGTTGTTAGGTGTAGCTCCAGAGCCTATGCCTCGAGGAAATATTAAGTTGAAGTGGTTGAGAGAGATCTTCTCAGTACCGTTGCCTGTTGATGCCCCACAAATTTTGGTTGACCAACATGCACGTGCATACATTATGCACATGATTGGTACTATATTATTTCCAGATTCAAGTAAAGATAAAGTGCATGCGAGGTATGTGTATTTATAATATGAATCTGTATTTCATTGAATTAGCTTATTTTAATAAATTGGAATATTGTGAATATGCTAGGTGGTTACCACTCCTCGAGGACTTGGACGTATGTGGTACAAAATCGTGGGGTAGTGCCGTTTTGGCGTATTTATATAGAGAGATGTCAAAAGTGGCACTTATGCAAAACAGTGAGCTTAAAGGGTGTGTCAAAAGTGGCACTTATGCAAAACAGTGAGCTTAAAGGGTGTCTAAGCTTATTGCAAGTATGGGCATGAGAGAGACTTCATTTGAAGCCGAGGCTATGCACGCATTTACAATTAGATGGACAAATTCCACTGGGATGCAGGTATTGTATTTTTTATGTAGCGAATATAACTGTAGTTATCATTGTGGTACTAAATGTATGACAAATATTTTTTTGTAGATGGAATGTCGAAAAATGCTATGACGAGACCCCGGCTAGACAATTGGATTTCTACCGGAATGAGCTTGACCGTATGAAGATTTTTCAGGTAATTCTCACCGAAAAACATGCGTTTTTTCTTCTACATACTGAAAACCCAATTCTGATATGCAACTGCAATAAATTATTGTAGATGGAATGGGAGCCCTACACCCAATTTCTACCTCAGCTACCCCCAATATGCACAGAATACCAAGTTGTATGGAGAGCTAGAGTTCCTCTTATATGTTTGGAGATAGTAGAAATGCATGTACCGGACCGCGTGCTTCGACAATATGGTCGTGCACAACATGTTCCGCAATTTGTTGAAAAGATAGAGAGGAAAGCAAAGAAAGGAGGCCAACAAATAAACTGGATGATCGTGCATCAAGCTTTTATACACAGATGGAATGATAGGCATTTTTGTATTGCCAACCAAATTGAACCAACTCCTCGGGAATCAGATTACTACACTTGGTATTAGGGCATAACCCGAAGATGGATACTTCATTCGACCACAATACCGGTTGAGTCGCAAAGAGGATATGTGCCCCGGGGTATAGATGAGAGAGAATTAGTAAGTATTTTCATATTTTGATTTAAGTCTATTTTTATTGGTACTTTATGTGTTGAAAAATTTGCAGGTATCAGCAATAGATGAAGTTCAAACTCTTGCAAATCGTGACTTGGAATTGGCTCGAGCAGGTACGATAAAATTAAATCTCAAATTTACATTATGTAATATCAAATTTAATATGAAATTTTGTTTTTGAACTTTCTATCGTAGGTAGAAATCCCGAAGCACATGAACATGTATCAATATATCAGGCTATAATGCAGAGGCTTCAACAAGCCTTACACCGAACTCACGAAGATCGTCATGATGGACGGGAGGTATCGCCATTCGTATATACACGACAACAGCGACATAGTCGAGGACGACGCAGGAATAACGATGAAGCTGGACCTTCCCAACCTGTCGACGATGGAGCTGGACCGTCACAACCACAAACGCAACCGGATCACGAACTCGTCGAAGGGCGGTATGGAGGAAGACGAAGACAAAGGAGGAGGAGGAGAGTTCTTGGATGTATGTAAACTACAGGTTATATACTATTTAGGGATGTGATTTTTGGATTTGTAGTCGATAATATCGTGTGATATGTTTGATTAGTGGGAGTTTGTGGTGTTATTATGTTGGATTTGTTATTATGTTGGATTTGTTTGTTAGTGGGAGTTTGTGGTGTGATGTGATTAGTTTGATTTGAAATGAGTATGCGGTGAAATCAGTATGTAATTTGTTAGTGGGAGTTTGTGTGGATGTATGCACAGGGACTACATGAAATGC